AATCGCTTCATTTTATCGTGTACCGGCTCAGTATTAGTTTAATAAAGTGTATGTCAAACTAGTGTAAATAAAAAACAAATAGCTTCCGGATATATTAGAAGGAAAATCGAGCACTGTCTGCCAAACTATTAAATAAGCATATATATTAAGTACATCTTGAGAATTAATTTTAGTATACAATTAATACTGTATAAATAGAATATAATTATATTTTTATTTCCTTTTTAGTCTTAAAATATATTTAAAAATTATTTTTTTAAGTTTATTAACGCAAAATTATTAACTTCTTTATCTTGCTAGATGTCTTTTGCGTATTATTGATAGATATTCCAACCCCGGCTTATCAATCTCTTCGCCATGGTTATTTTTTATTCTCTACTTACCTTTATCGAATCGTTATTTTCTAAAATGCAATACTCTTACTATTTTAGGGGGAAAGAAAGGGGACAAATAAGTATTATCCTCCAGACTTTGACCCTAAGATCCATAAAACTCTCAGTCGTTATCATGGCATTCATCCACTACGAGACCGCGGCCAAAAGGCATCTGAAGGCATCATAAAAATAAGATTTGAAATGCCCTATAACTGCTGGTGTTTGACTTGTAAAAACCCTATTGGGATGGGTGTCAGATATAATGCCGAGAAAATCCAAGTCGGGATGTATCATTCCACTCCAATCTTCAAATTCAAGATGCCGTGCCATCTTTGCGCTGGGACTATAGAAATACAGACAGATCCCCAGAATTTTGATTACGTGCTTATTTCAGGCGCACGAAGGAAAGATCAAATATGGGAAGCAGAAGATAATGAACAAATTGTCATGTCTGGTAACATGTACATAATTTCGATAACTATCATTCTTTAGATTTTCACGAGAAAAAAAAACTTGCAATGGATGCTATGTACCAAGTTGAACATTCTGTCAAGGATAAATCACAGGGGGACTTAGCTAAACCTGCTCTTGAACAGTTGGAGCTTGACAAAAATGTTTTTAAAGATGACTTTGCAGCAAATCAGTTACTTCGTAAAAAATTTCGAGTACTTTTTTATTGCTTTAATGCCTGTGCAAATTTTGATTTATTTATCATTACATTTTTTACTTTGTGTATTAAAGGAAGTAAAGAGGCTTGCCAAGGAAGAATTAGCCAAAGACAATGTTCTTCTGAACAAGCTTTCTCTCGTGGGCTCGCATGTTAAGCTATTGCCAGAGCAGGAATCGGATGAAGTTGGTGCCAAGCTAATACGATTAACACATACCAAATCAAGTAGGTGAATATTCACATTGTTTTTTATCATGACAATCTATGAATAATTTTTAGAAAGCTTACATATTGCCTTAGCATGTGTTTGGCCAATTTTGATGTGTCGATCCCTTTTTGGATCATCATATTCCAATTGATTTACATGTTTGTATCATCCAAAATCTCACTACATTGTATATGGTAGAGGGTCAGTCTGCCTTGGAAGTTACATTTTCTTTGTGATCCAGTGACATCTGTAACTGTGGGAAGTAGTAGTAAATTATAGCATATTTAGACAGACTAATTATTTTCGAATCCATTTTGGTTTCAAATGGGATCTAGGTGAGTTAAAGACATATTATTCTGGATTATAAAGCCTTTTTGGAAGTAAGGCTAAGTATGGTTCACTGGCACCATGAGGCCTGCTAATATCGTCAGGTGAATCACTCCACTATCAGCTTCATCGCCTCGAAAATATAGTATACTCAAGTACGATTAGCTGTTAAGCCGTTCTTGATATTTTAAATCCTGAAAATGCCATGCATTAAGAACATCTTATGTGGGCTTATTCTTTTAAAGCACTGCCTAATTGTCCTATTTTACATTTACAACTCTCTAATTTTATCTTTTATTTACTTTGTTATACTTGAAGACTCCAATGAAGCTAAATTTATTAATCCTATAACATATCCGTCATGTCTTAATGGAGAATTATCATAATTATGTCTAGTTGGCATTTCATAATCTGGTGCTTTATCTAGTCATCAGGTATTGTAAAGATTTCATGATATCCTAGCTAGTCTTATAGTTCATTTTTAAAAACCCCGCATCGATACTTAACACTTCAGCTTGAGATCTTAGCTATCACCTGCATCCCTTAAGGTCTTAAATCTACGTCATTGGTCTTGATGAGTGCACAACTTACCAGACAAATTTA